TGTCTTGCACTATGAGCACAATCTTTGCTGTTATCTGAGTAATTATTTCTGATTTTATTTTTCCCTGATCCTCTTTTGTTGCCAGTTTGGAGAGTCCAGGTGGTTGAATATCAGATTGTTCCATCTTGTTTCCCTTTGGGGTTGCTGTAGGTGATCTGGAAGTCTATTTTTGAGGCTTGTTTATATCTCTTTTCATTTCCATGGCGGGGTGGGGGCTGCTTCTGGTGCCGGCAGGCTCACTTTCTCTACCCTAGGAGCGTGGAATGGCGGCGGGGGAGCCTCCTTCCGGGTGCTGGGACTGGCCCACCTTCTCTGCCCTAGGAGCATGGAATCACATTCTGTTGTTTATTAAATAAATTCAGGTAGACTCTAAGGGGCCGGGGATTTAGCTCAGTGGTTCCAGCACCTGCCTGGCAAGTGCAAGGTCCTGAGTTTGATCCCTGGTACCAAAATAAAAAAAAATTCAAGTAGACTGTAACCTTTTACAAACCAAGCTATGCTACATATAAATCACTCTTGTTATTAAGAAGAGAGGTCTTAATGTATATCACAATTCTTTTCTGATTCTTACTGTCTGTTATGGCTTGTGTCTAGAAGTTCCCCCAAAGCTTTGTGTGGTCATAAGTGGGGCTTTTCAGAGGTGGCTGGATCTAGGGTGTGTGATGCTGGGAGTAAATGTGTGATGCTGGGATTAAGGGTGTGTGATTACTAAATTAGTCCACTGATTGGTTTGGCATTGTTCTAGGTGTGGATAATGGGACAACCCACCTTGAGTGTGGGTGGCACCACCCAAAGGCTGGGTAGCCTGGACGGATATAAAGGGACTGAAAGAAGGCCAACTGCTAGTTCTTTGCTAATTGGATGCTTTGCTGTCTTCTGCATGCCTCTGCAATGCCCCTCTCCCATGCCACCCTGCCTTGGAGCCACCCAACTATGAGAAACCTCTACAAACTGTAAGCTACAATAAACCTTTCCGCCCTTAACTTTTGGTGTCAGGTATTTTGTCTCAGCAATGAGAAAAATAACTATGACCTTGTCCATAATTCTTCAGAAAATTTTTTCAGTACCTCCAATGTGCCAGGCATTTTAGTAGGATGCTAAGTTACTAATACAGTATGAATATGAATATGACATTATTTCTGAGTCTCTTAAGTTATTTATTTCACATCTCCTCTTTCCTAAAACCTCCAATATCTCATCTTCCTCATTCTCAACAGATTACCTCACTTTAAACTTCATTAAAAAACAGAAGCCATCACACAATACTAATTACTTCACCTTCCCACCATCAAATCACCGACCTCCTTGGATTGAATGCATGAACTAATTCCTTCCATAATGAAGAAATACACCCTGTCCTCTTTAGGCTCTGGATCACATGCTCTTCTGCCTATTTGAGAATTTTCATTTCTGTTTTTATCTGCCCTTAGTATTTTCATTACTTGACCTCTTCATAGACATATTCTCACCACCTTCTGTGTTTCAGCATGAAACTTATTAAGAGTTGCCGTGCTTACTCTTTCCACTTTCTCACTTCTCTTTCCTTGTTAACTAACTCCGATCATATATTTATTGCATCTGCTGAAATGATCTTTGTTAGAGCCATCACCCACTGGTGATGAACTTTACTGTCCCAAATAATGTGAGTTCTCAATCCTCTCTAACTTGACCCCTCTGAACAATTTGGCAGAGATGATCATTTCCTGCTATTTAAAACCCATTCTAGTTTTTGGCTTCCATAACAATGCACTCTGAATTTTCCCCCACTGAAATTTCTTCTTGGTCACCTCTTCCTTTACTTGATCTCTAAATATTAAAGTATGCAGGACTATTCTAAGACCTATTATTATAAGCTCTCAGTCTCATTCCATAAGTAATTATATCCCATTTCACTCTTTTAAATACAGTGTGTTTACTGATGAATTACAAATTATGTGCCCAGCACTTATCTCTCCCCAGATTGCCTCACTTTTATATTTAACTACCCTTAGCCATTATTCTTGCAGCTTTCTGAAGAAGTTCTGTCTTTAATTGTGCTGTCATGGCTGCCTCAATGAACTGAATCAATTCAAAATGCTTACCTTTTGTGGTCATTTTGACTCTGGGCAAGAGCCAGAAGCCACAAAGTGCCAAATCCAGTGAATAAGGTGGGTGAGCACACACTATAATGTTTTTATGATCCTGCCTTTCCATTGGATGGCACATGGCAGCCACATTTACTGTACATTATTTTTTATCACATCGTGTAAAGACACTCAGGAGAGAGGACTTCCAGAACTGTTTGAGAAAGTGGTAAGGACAATGGGATAAATTTGTTTGATAATTGTGTTTGTTTAAACATTCACCATACATTTTTGATCACTCTGTGTACTCTTGCCCACTGTTAGAGAAGCCAGAGAGAATTTTTAAAAGAAAACCACACTTCTGCCGTACTTAAAACCTATGATAACTTCCTATTGTCACTAGAATAAACTGAAGCTCTTTTGCAAAGCCTTTAAGACAAGCATAGGTTTCTAGCCTCATCTACCACTCTTCCTTTTTCACTGCACTTTAATCACATGGGCCTGCTTTATACTCCTTGTTTGATGCCAAACACATATCTGTCTCAGGCATTTGCCAGTATTTTCTGTGCTTTTCCCACAGATTGATGTCCCATGGCCAGTATCTTCTCTTTATTCACTTCCTGGAGCTGTCAGTGCAAATTTTGTCTCTTCAGATCCCCTCAGCATGCTATACAAAATATTCTTCCCACCCACCACTCATTCCCAAAGTCATTCCATACCCTATTACCCTGTTAGTTTTCCACATTTGTCTCTTTTTTCACTGCTTGTAAGGCACAAGGCAGGGCCCTGTGTTTATGTTTATGTTATGTGTTTTACTTAGGCCTGCATCCCCAGTGTCTGCCATGTAGACATGCTCAATAAATAATGATTAAACGAGTGAAACATCTAATGGATGAATGAATCAGAAGACATGAAACTCAGCATATAACAACTCTTAGGGTAATATGAGCTGTGACAGAGCTAACCAACCAAAGAAATGGACCATGAAGATAAGCAGCAATCTAATTGCTGGATATTGCTAGGTGGGGCAGTGCATGCCTGTAATTCTAGTTCTCTCTGAGGATGAGGCAGGAGGAATGGAGGTTTAAGCCCAGTCTAGATAACTTAGCAATTTAGTAATACCTTGTCTCAAAAAAATATATAAAAGGGCTAGATATGCAGCCCAGTGTGAAGGACCTGGGTTAAATGCCCAGTAATAATAGTAGTGGCTGGGGCTGGAGATTTAGCTCAGTGGTGCCACTGCCTGCCTCACAAGCGCAAGGACCTGAGTTTGACCGCTGGTACCAAAAAATTTTAAAAAATAATAAAAATAATAGTAGTGGCTGGATGCTTTTTATATGCCTGACCTCAGGTAAGATTACAGTTTTATCAGTTTTACCATTCAGAGCTTGAATATTTAAAGATGAACACCTTTCATATAGCAAATCTCACTTTTCACCTCTGGATTTTCCAGCTCCATGTTTCCTCCAACTTGAACTTCAAATCTCATTCCTCTGTCCTTTTGAAGCATGTACAAATATTCTTCACAGAAACAAGAGGGAATGAATATAATTCTCTATATCTTTGAAATACTACAGTTAAATGATGTTTTGAACTTGTCAATGCCAGGACAAGCACTGTTTTAACTTCTGTGAAATACATTCAAATAGTTACCTCAAAATTAATAAATATATTTTAATTAAATTATCAGGGTGTCCTATATTGTCATCTTTTTTTTCTTTGGAGTACCAGGGATTGAACTCAGGATCTTGCACTTGCCAGGTAGGCGCAGCACCACCAAGCTACATCCCCGGCCCCTATATTATCATCTTTATGCCATATTTTATTTTTAATTAGGTTTATTAAAGCCAACTTATGTAAAGTAAAATTCATAAGATACATACATACATACATACATACATACATACATACATACATAGGATTGAACCCAGGGCTATTACACTGAGCTATTTCCCTAGCCCTTTTAAAAAAATTTTTTTGTGGAGTTACAGGGTCACACTAAGCTGCCAAGAGGACTCGAACTAGTTGGTGTTTCTGCCTCAGCCTCCCAAAGTACACAGAATACAGGGATGTTCCACCAAGCCTAGCTTATATCTATGATCTGTGATTTTTTTTTTTGGTACTGGGGATCAAACTTGGGACCTTGTGCTTGTGAGGCAGGCCATGGCACCACTGAGCTAAATCCCTGTCTCTGATCTGTGATTTTTGACAAAAGTATACAGTCATGTAACCACCACTATAATCAAAGTGCAGAACATGTATATCATTCCAAAATTTCCTCATGCCTCCTTAATTAATTGCCTTCTCTACACTCCTGTCTGCCACTGTTTTTGTCTCTATAGTTTTCCAAAATGGAATCATAGTATATATCCTTTTGCTATACAAATTTTTTTAAGTTTATTGGTACATTTTAGGTGTACAATATGATGACATTTATCATTGAGAATTTGTACCGTCACATGATATATCTTGGTTCTTATTTTTTCCCCATTCCCCTGCCCTCCCTTCAACCCTTCCACCCCTCCCTATTTACAAACACTTTGTTTCCATTTTTTCCTTTTCTCATATTTTTTCTTTCCCTTCTTTTCTTTTCCCTACTCCTCCCACTTCCTTCTCCCTTTTAGATACTTTCTTTCTGTTTCACACTATTATATATTTTGATTCTTATTTACACTTTCAGTTTCTCACACTAGAGAAACTATTTGGTATTTACACATGTCTGTCCTATTTATTTCACTTGAGTATGGCCTTAATGTGCATCCACTTAGCTATAATTGACTCTAGTTTCTCATTCTTTATGGCTGAGTAGTACTCCATTTCATTAAAAAAAAAAAGCCCCACATCTTCTTTATCCTATCTCCAGTTGATGGGCAATTGGGCTGTTTCCAAGTTTTAGCTATTACAGACTGTGCTGCTATAAACATGGGTGCACATATATCACTGTGGTATGATTCTTTTAATTCTTTTGGGAAGATATCCAGCAGAGGAATAGCTGGGTCAAATGGGACCTCTAATCCTAGTTTTTTGAGGTATCTTCATAGTGATCACCACAGTGGGGAAGTCTGTACTCCCACCAAAATGGAGGAGGGTTCCTTTCTCCCCACAACCCCACCAGCATTTGTTATTGGTTGATTTCTTGATAACAGCCTTTCTTTCTGGAGTGAGGTAGATAGAATCCGTGTTGTTTTCATCTGCATCTCTCGAATGACCAGTGATGTTGAACATTTTTTCATGTTTATTTGCTACTTCTACTTTGAGAAATATCTGTTCATTTCAGATGCCCATTTTTGAATTGCATCGTTATATTTGGGGGTTCTGATTTTTTTAAACTTCTTTATGTATTCTAGATAGTAGTCCTTTGTCTGAGGAACAGCTGATAAAAATTTTTTCCCACATTGTAGGTTGTCTCTTAGCTCTGTTGATGGTTTCTCTTGCAGTGTAGAAGCTTTTTAATAAGATGAGATCCTAGTTGTTGATTCTTTGTGCTAGTTCCTGTGCTACTGAGGTTTTGTTCATAAAGTCTTTTCCTAGGCCAATGTCTTCAAGAGTTCTACCTACCTCATCTTCCAGCAAGTTCAGTGTTTATGTTTTAATATTTAGATCTTTAATTCACTTCGGTTTTAGTTTAGTGCATGGTCAAAGATATGGGTCCAGTTTTAATCTATGCCAGGTTGATACCCAGTTTTTCCAACACCATTTATTAAAGAGGCTGTCTTTCCTTCAGTGAGGGTGGTTGGCTCCTTTGTCAGAGATGAGGTGGTTGAGTATGTCTGGAGTTGTTTCTGCATCTATTCCACTGATCCTCGGGTCTGTTTCTTTGCCAGTAACATGCTGTTTTTCATCACAGTGGCTTTGTAGTAGTTTTATGTTGGGGATTGTGATATCCCCTGTCATATCTTTGTTGACTGGAATTCTTTTGC